ATCAACTTGATAGACAAGAATTTGAAGTTCAAATAAAAGAACTTTTACCCTTAGAAGTCATAAAGCATTTCAGTTCTAGGCATTCCTTTACAGCGTTCATGGTAAGAAATCATATAGAAATTAAGTGAGGAAAAGTTAGGATGGTCATAAATTACAAAATGCTAAATGATAACATTTATTACGATGCATATAGGATACTAGATAAAGACCAACTAATCAACTGCATTCAAAATTCAAAAATTTTCAACAAGTGTGATTGTAAGTTTGGTTTCTAGCATATCAAAATGGAAAAAGAATCCATTCCAATGATTGCCTTCACTTGTCCTAGAGGACATTTTGAGTGGCAGGTCATGCCTTTTGGATTAAAAAATGCACCTTCCATATTCCAAAGAAAGATGGATCAAATATTCAAAAAATATTTAGATTTTGTCTTGGTATATATTGATGATATTCTTGTCTTTAGCAAAACTGATATTGAGCATATCAAACACCTTCAAATTGTTATCACTGAATTCCTAAAAAATGGTCATATAATTTCTAAAAGGAAAATAGAACTCTCCAAAGAGTACATTGAATTTTTAGGAATGAGGATTGGATAAGGAAAAATTCAATTACAAGATCACAAAGTGAGGAAGATTCTTGAGTTTCCCAACAAAATCGAGGAAACAAAAGAACTTAGAAAATTCTTAGGTATACTTAATTATACCTGTATGTATATAAAAGATTTATCTAAACTGACTAAACTATTATATGTAAAACTTAGTCCTAAATGACAAAAGTTTTTCAATGGTGAGGACATCAAACTTGTAAAAAGAATAAAAGATAAAGTTAAAAATTTACCCATTCTAACTCTACCATTGGAATTAGACTACAAAATAGTCAAAACCAATAGTAGTAGTGAAGGATGGGGAGTAATTTTGTTAGTTAGACCTAATGAATTCTCTTCTCAGAAAGATGAAAATACTTGTAGTTATTCTAGTGGATTGTATAGAGTAAGTAAAATTCTTTAACATCACTTGATTTTAAAATATTAGGAGTAATAAATGCTTTAAATTCTTTAAACTTTTATACAAAATGATAATTTTACAATTAGAATAAATTGTGAAGCAATTGTAAAATATTTTCAAATGAAAAATGAAAAAAGTCTTTCTTCTAAATGTTAGATGAATTTTGTAAATATTATAATTGAAAATGGTTTTAAAGTAAAATTTGAATATATTAAAAGTAAAAATAATTATCTTACTGACTGGCTAAGTAGATATATTCATTATTCTCTTGTACAGGATTAGAATGAAACGCTCAACTTCAGGCAAAACTAACAATAGAGGCAACACCTCTAGAGTTAGGTCTTGTACAAAAGGTCTCAATTTGGATCCAATTGCTAATCAAGTTCTGAACAACATTCAACTTTGGCAATTTGAACCTTTTTGAGAACTAAGAACTTTAACCCAATATTTAAGAAAATATAATAAATTTAATTATTATGTTCTAATCAAGGGAAAACCCCTTGGAATTTATAAATAGTGAGATGAAATGTTGTTCCAAATACAAGATTTTAGAAGATCATTCTATATGGAGCTTTATATAATTGAAGAAGCTATTCAATTTGCCTAAAAGCACCTTGGACATAGCTTTTTCATTAGCCCTTATTTTTCTCCAAATTTGCAAGAACCTTTAGATGAGGTAGTAAAGACCACCTTAGTTCCACTGGTAGGTGAAAGACAATTAATTCCCCCACTGAGAATTAATAAATATTTAATTGAAGGATCCTCTTCAAATTCTACATCAATTCCATTAGTGAATGACACTTAGAGGCAACTTAGGATGTATTTCAATCTATGTGTTCCCTTACCTAAGTTGTCAAATGATTCAAGATAGCTAATTTTTCAAAAAGCAAAAGTCTCTAGTCATGCCAAATTGAAGGCAATTCAACAATTCCTTCAACAAATAGCTTAAGATGGTATCAACAGAGCTAACATAGGCTTTACTTGGGACACCTATTATTCTACTACATAAAGAAGACTTCAAGGTGTAATTGGTGCAAAGGAGAAACTATAGAAGGAGTTCCTCTTGCATGATTTGACTATCAATGTCAACTCGTTTGTAGCATTTGTATAGTTTCTTTGGATCTATCCTTATATGATCCAATTCAATTTTTATTTGAAAGGGAAATTATTGAGTTAACTTTACAGTTACTTTGGGATTATGGTTTTTTCTTTCAAGTAATTTTTACAAAGATTAAGGAAATGGATCTTGTTGGAAGAAAATTTGCTATGGCTGTCTTAGAAAGCATGCCTCCCAACTATGTTGAGGCATTGATTCAAAGCTAGGCACCTGAATGGAAAGGTGGACATGTGCTTCTAGCACAACACAAAATTATTTTAAAAAGAAGAAGCAATTTACTACCTCTCCACAAATATGTTTAGGCTTGGCCATCCAATACTCAGTTGTTCACAAAACAACTCAAACACTGAAGAGCTAGAACAATGGCACAAATGTAGGTCATGAGAGATGATTTTACCACTAGATATACCTTCTTTACCGAGGATAATTCAGAAAATTTATCTTAATTTTGATGTGTTTATCCATAGTTAGAGTCTAAGAGAGATCCCCTTCACACCTTAAACAAGCTACACTTAGTTACTGCATTTTTGCTTTAAAGAGTATAAAAATAGTGAAGAGCGATCTAAAGATTGTATAACTGGAGTCAACATGGGTGGCGACCTTCCCAGTGACAACCTAGATGACAGAATACGTTTTTATGATGATCTTGACTCTGTTGGATGGGAAAATCTTGAAAAATCAAATGGAGGGATAATAATTAAATTAGACAAAGGAACAGGCATGCCCCACTTCAAAGTGACTGCCATGAGACATGTTCCTCAAAAGCCGGCCACTTTTTATCTTTCCAAAAATATAAAAATGGTTGACTATGGTTATCTCTATAAATAAACCTAGGATTAGTTAGTCATAGTTACTTTTTTGTAGTTAAAGTTAATTTTACTATAGTTATTTTTTAGTAACTTAGGATAGTTTTTCTTCTATAAATAGTAGAAGATTTCTCAAAAAGAAGCAAAAGGTAGAAAAAGAGTGAGAAAGTGAAAGAGAGAGTTCAAAGAGAGTTCAAAGTTGTATAGAGTTAGAAAGACCCGTCTTTAGCTTATATCCTTTGTAATTTGCACTCTCTTGAGTATGTATAAAATATCTTTTTAGTTATTTTCTTTAATGTATTATCTAGCTTAAAGAAAATCTTTGGCAAAGAGAATAGTTTGTAGCTTCCATTTGTCTTGTTATTCTATATTGGATGCACTAAAATCACTCTAACAAGTGTCCTAGTCACTTCAAGTAATATAGTGATGAGAACAGTGTCGAACCCATGAGGATTGCAATTAATTAAATACCAAAATAATTAATCTAAATTTATTTAAACAATCGAAAAGAAAAAAACTTTAATTTAAAATAATAAAAAAATAACAATTAAAATAAAACTAATCAAGATGCGAGGTACTAAGGCATTGATTTCACCATAATCAATCAATATAAATTCTAGAATAATATACTTTCAAAACTAATTTGTTGATTGTTGTTATATGTGATAACGGATTTTCCTAAATTAATTAATTAATTTTTTCAAGTCAAGTTAATTCTTCCCTTACTTGTCAAATTAATTATATTTTTATGTAATTTTAAATAAATAGATAAGTTTAAGAATGGAGAGCTCCTAACTCCCCTCTTCCTCCACTACCACATGTGACACTAATTATCTTTTGATCTCATAGTCTAATATATGGTTTATATTATTATTGGTCTAATTTACGTAATTCTTTCTTAAGTTTATGCATAAATCACTAAATCAATCAAAAGATGATCATGTTTTCAATACATTAAGTTTAATAACATAAACTCATCATGCGAATAACTATAATTGAAAGTATAAAATCATAAAATCTATATTAAATTGATTATGTTACATCGTAGTTTTAATAAAATAAATTAGTTCATAATAAAAATAAAAAAATCTAAAATTATAGTTATGAACATTTGAATATCAAACAATAGATAAAAATAATCTAAAGAAAAAACAAAACCCAATTTGAGAAAGTTTAAATCTTTTATCTTTTATTATTAATGAATTTTCTATCTTAATCTCCAAGAGTGCCCAAAAGAAAGCTGTCATCAGCTTCCACAACTCTCCTCCAAAGCTCTTTCAACTCTAAATTTGGATGGGTATTTATAAGATATTAAAAACCCTAATTGGAATAGAAGTAAGAGCCACACCCAAGATAGTAAATTAGGCGTAGATTCTGTGAGAATCGCGTAAGGGGTCAACACCTACATATATGTGCCGATACCTTCTGTTAAGCGCGCAATTACTGTGTCGGGTTTTTGCCTTCCCAGTAATTTCTGTTAATGGTAAAATGGTAATTCTGGTCCATAACTTTTAGATTCTGCACAATTTAATCCTCAGCTTTTTGATTTCTGCAATTTACGCTTAAAAATTATAATTTTGTCAGATTAAATCCTTTCCTACACAAAAAATAAAAATTATATAAAATCAAATAAAATTTCATAAAATTCATCTAAATATTAATAATATCAAAGTAAATTTTTCATATTAATATATATAAATTTAATTCATCGATATTCATGTACTATATAGATGAAAGTTTATTGTATAGGCTCTTTTCAATTTCTTTCTCAAACATCTTTAGAAAGAAAAAGATAATTGCTTTTTAAAACTTACACCACTATAGAGAGTAAGTTAAACCTAAATAACTTGATATACAAGAAATTTTTTACTACCTAGTCTTATTAGAGAGTATCTATTTAAAGTTGAGA